TTATACATTAAACTATCTACTGATTACTATGTATTTTCAAAATATTTACTCATTTTATAAACTATATAATTCCTTGATAAAATTTTTTTTACATAAACCACATTTATGATAAGTTTTTTACTACTAAAATGCAATAATAATTTTAAAGAGTGTGGTAAACATTAAATCAAGATATGTGGGTTTTCTTACAATCTCTCCTTGCTACACTTCACCAATATTTTAGATCTTCAAATTATGTTTCAAGATTTTCTTTGATAAAAAAAAGTAAAAATATTATAAAAGTTATATAAAGAAGTTTTTCAATATAAGAATTTAAATGAATTTACTTTCAAATATTTCTACATATTTACTAGATAACTTCATATAATAATTTTAAACATTTAAATCTATCATATAATTTTTAAGTTTACGTTTGTTTCGGGTTTAATACTATAGTGAAGGATGGAAGAACATATGCGTTTTGTGATTAAGATATAATGATTTAATATGCGTTTTGTGATTAAAATATAATGATTTAAAGAAAAGTGCAAAGAAGGATTTGCGAGATCGAGAAAAGAGTTCTCTTTGCTTGTATGGAGGAATAGAGGAAAAAACCACATCACATAATATGATATTACAATTTTGGCCTTCACTTTTGTACTCTGCATGACGTGCGATTTTGTTACTTTTGGATTGTACATGGCATGAATCTGTAGCATGCAGAGATGCTTGAAGAGATTCTTGAAGCCATAGTGATGGACAATGGAGATTCCCTGCATGCATTAACCAAGTCATGGTAGCTAAAGTTTTGAACTCATATCAAATACGTAAATAAGTGGTTGATGGTGTATTTAAGTTGCAAAGTTCAACTTTGTTGTGCATTTGGTTGTGATTTGTCGTCCTTTTGAAAGACAATGTTGGTTTTAAGTTTGTGAAGTTGGGTTCGTGTGGTGCAATTGGAAACTGGGTAGTTGTCATTGGTTTGATTCGTATGGGTTTCGCAAGACTCTGGAAGGAAACCTCCCTCCAACTCAACCATGGTGACACTAGAAGAGGAAAAGTTTTGAACATAAAAAGAAGGAAGAAGACGTAAGTAAAATATTATTTATTGTTGATTTTGTATGTCTAATTACAAAAAGGGGAAAACCTATATGCTTATATGGATTAAGAACCCTAACAGAAAAGCCCTTGTTGCAGTTGTTGACAAACCACATAAGAATCAATTTCAATGTGTTTCGTTTTCTCGTAGAAAGTGAGATTTCGAGCTATTTGACAACTTATTAGTTGTCATACTAAATAAAGTATCAAAGAAATTTATGAATGAGTGTAGTCCTTTCCAACTAGACAAATCTTGTGTCTTTCTATAGAACCATCAGATTTCTATATGTTCATTCGATAAAAGATTTCGTACCCAATTTAAATATAAAAACAATAATAAATTTTTTCTTTAAAGATGAGTACGAGATATAACATTCATTTTACTTCTCTTTTATTTTCATTCGTATGAATCGATCTTCAAATACAAACAATTGAATACGTGTAAATTCTAGTTATTACAAATTATCTATTTTTTTATGAACGAGAAAACATTAAAAAACAGTTGGGAAAATGTAAACTCTCCTGCAGCCAGCAAAGCTATGAATAAAATAATATTAATGTGCGCCAAGAAAAAATATGAAGGACAAAATTAATTTATTATAATATACCTAGTCAACAAAATTTAATTAAAAATGCTTCAAAAGGAGAAAATGAAAGTCTTGCCTAAAACACAAAATTATTACCTTTTATGAACATTTTAAAAAAATTAATACTTTAATCACTGCTTTCATTTTATAAGCGTACTGAGAACGCAAGAAGAGAAGCGATATATATATATATATATATATATATATATATATATATATATTGATTCCTTGAAGGAGAAAGGAAAAAAGAGAGAAAATAATTTGAAGGGCGAAAAAGAAGAGAAGAGAGATGGGTGTGACGAAGGAAAACGTTGAAGCATCCTTGAAGGCCAAACTCAACCCTTCTCATCTTGTAAGCCTTTCCTTCTCTTTCCTCTTCTTACTCTGCTCTTCGCTCACTCAAACCCAATCTCTCTGTTTGTTCTTTTGAGTTATCAAATTAAGAAGCATTTCAACCTTTTTGCATGCTATGCCACATAATAAGGTTGTAGTTTGCTGATCGTCCCCTTTTCTTTACTGGGTTCTAATTAATCTTTATCAAGAGTTGTCCAAATTCACCGTTCTTTAAGTTCTGCATTCGATTGAGCTCTCCTTTCTTGTTTTTACCCAAATCCCAGGAATGGTTTCGCTCTATGAACATTGTTTCTTTCGTAGCATTGGTAGGGAGCCTAGAAATTTGAAGACTTGTTTGGATCAACTTTTCTATAAAGCATTTCTAGTAAAAAATAAAATAAAATAGAAATTAAAATAAGTTTTTGTTTAAGTTAATATTAATACAGGTATAAGTTAATTTCTAAAAATTTTGTGAGCTTGTGGAGAAACTAATTTTGATTTCTTCTCTTAAAAGTGGTGTGGAGAAATTTCTCCAATCTGGTTCTTACTTTCTATATAGCCATAAATACCGAATGGATTGGTTTATCTAGAGAACCAATGGATTGGTTTGTGGGTAGCAATTTGTGGTTAACCTGCGAATTGTGTCAGTTCCATTCTTGCAGAGTCAAGAAAATGACAGTGTAGTCAAGATGGGTAATGGGTGGAATTTGGAGTTGATGAAGATGGAATGGGAAGGGGAGAAATGGAGCAGCCCAACTGGAGAATGGGTTTGCAGCAGTATTGGGAGGGAGTGGGAATGGAAATGCCCAAAGAACTCCAATTGCACTCTACAAATGATGATGATTGTGGATCGTTACGTCAGTGTGTCTAATAATTCTTCAATTTCTTTGTATCTTTGTGTATTTCTCTTTGATGGGTGTGGAAGGGAAGGAAACCCTTGCATCACAAGGCAAGTATAAAAGCGTACCGCAACTAGCAATTATATGCTCACGTCCTTGGCAAAGTGGCATGCAGCATATCCAAATCTTTAACATGTACCGCCAGAATATATATATCTTTGGCTGTGTGATTTCTTTTCCATAGAGTTATACTGCTTTGTTCTTGTTCGTTGTTCCTTTTAATGAACATTAGTAACATTTTTTCCCGAGTTATATCCACATTCCAATTTTTTGTTGCACAAAGGCGGAATGATCTTGTGCAAACTATCTCCCTCGCCAACTAGGCTGTCTCATGCAGGGTAGTCATTTTCTTATCTGACTGCAACCTTTTCTACATATCAAAGAGTCATTGACATATACACTTTCTTCTCCTACTAAGTTTATTAACTTTGATATTTATTTTAATTCCGTAAGAGTAGATGATTCATGGTGCTTCTACTTATCTGTTGGATCTTGGTTGTTTAGATAATGCATTGAAATTTTATGCAATCTAAAAATTTCATGTTCTACAGGCTACCTGTTATTATCTATGGCTATCAGAAATCCATATAACAATTTTGGAATTTCCTTAGATATTGACAGTCTGAATGACTTATGCAGTGACCTTGGATTTAGTGTTGAATCTTGAAGCTTTCGCACATGTCCAATCTTATTGTTACAAAAATTTACTTTTGCCAACATTATGGTTTGCTTTATTACAAAATCTTCTTTCAGTACGTCAACGGAGAGCTTTCCCCTTGCGTGTCACATGCGGTCTGTAATATGGAACTTGTTGTGCATTAACGTGAAAATTTGTTAAACTTCAAGGGGTTATTTATAAGGGTTTAGGGATTGTCTGTTAATTCTAGCTTCTTTTAATAATGCCATAGTTTGTCTAAGTTCATAGGAGTTACGTCTAACAGAACAAATTTTATGCACCATAGATAATGAGTCTATTTCACGGGTGTACTGAGTTTGACACTCACTTTTCTTGAATATTTCCGTTCTAATTGTATTATATTTGTGTTTCAGGAAGTGGTTGATACATCTGGAGGGTAGGTTTCTTTCCACTTACAGACCTCGTGTCCTCTACTTATAGCACTGCTTACTTCCTCCGTTTTTTTATCTTACAATCTTGTAATTTCCGTGTTGTGGCTATTAGGTGCGGCGCTAGTTTTGTAGTGGAGATTGTATCAGAACAATTTGAAGGAAAAAGGCTACTGGAGAGGCATCGAATGGTGAATGCTGCCTTAGAGGAGGAACTGAAAGAGATTCATGCTCTCTCGATAAAGAAAACTGTTACCCCAGAGCAGTGGAAACAACAGCAAGAAGCCAACCAATCAAATGCTGCTGCCTAGATCATATGTTTCGGTTATAGTCATTTATAAATAAGAAATCCAGTGTTACTGACTTTTGACAATGTTTATGGATTTTAGCTCTCTGTACTTTTATCGACACTCAAATTTGTAGCTGTAGTACTAAAGTCAAGTTTACAAAATTTCTTCCTTTCCCCTAGTTATAAAGTAACGTGACCCTCTTTGGGTAGAAACTTTTACATCAACTACACTTTGTTGAGCGACCCCCTTCAAGTAGAAACTTTGAAATCAATTGTAGTCGTAAAACACCCACCTTTCATGCCACCAGTGATCATGACTTCTAACTTTTTTGTTATTTTAACAAGGATGAATCAATGATACTTTTTTGGTGTCTGGAGACAATCGTTTTTGTTTCTTATAAGATTTTATTTCTTACCTCATTCTTTCTATGAAAATTGTCCACTTGCAAAATTTAGTTCAATTGAAGTACTTGCCACATGAGTTTTAACTCAAGGTGTAACGAATTGTTGCCAGCTCTTGTGTATTAGAGACACTTGAGGTTATATAATTGGATATCTTTTTCGCTGCAGTTTTCCAATGTTTCATATTTGTGCCTGCTTATCTCACTAGCAGGTATACACACACAAGCTTCAGAGACGTATTTGCACATATGCACTTTCTTTATAACTAAGTCGCATGCCAACTCAATCAATTCCTAAAAGAAGACGAATGTCGTATGCAGCGCGAAAGGCCAAAGCCAATTCGTAAATGTTCAGTATATTTTTATAGAAACTTAACAGAATAATGGTTGAAAACCACTTTCCCGGCTGAAATTTTTGCTGTTGGGACAATGGGTTGCGTAGAAAACCACCGAATAATAAGGTATCTATCAACTGGATCTCGAGTCCTTGGAATGGGAACTTCTAAGCCACATGTCTCGATAGACCTATCCACACAGCACAGCCTTTATACAAAAGAAATGCAAACGTGTCATAGTTTCCCTTCTGTCGAAAATTTCTGCCTAGTTACTCCTTATCACCAAAAGAGATAGAGCAACCACTCTGTCCACATGAAGATTCAATGGTCACTAACCCAGTCCATCCTCCAATGACAGATTCCCATGTCAGTCCTCTCAGTTGTAGAACCATGAATGCCATGAAGCTTCGAAATTTTGGCCCACCCAGAAATCATTCAAGAATAAGCACCTAAAGATTTGGTGAGAGACCATTATGGTTTAAACCCGTTACAATCCTTAAAGTTGCAGAACACAATTCTGGGTCAGGCTTAGTTGAGCTTGAAACACTTGCTCAGAAGAAAAGAGAGCTTTACCAGGCGATGGAAGGTACACACTTGTATTATTTTCATCTCCCTCTGTTATTGTAAATTTCGGACTCGAAAAAAAGAGTAATACGATTGAAGCGGGTTGCAAACAAATGTGTTTCAAGGAATCAATAGGGGAATATTCGGAATGCCATCTGCCAAGAAGTCTGAAATCGAAAGTCTGGTACAGCAGCTAGAATCTCTGAATCCTACTCCATACCCAACTCAAGAACTTGAGATGGTAACACCAATCCTTTCTCATTGACATGTACAAGCTAACATAGTATGTTTTCATAGTTCTTATATTTAGACAGACCAAACGCTTCATTTGACAACTAATTTCTCTCTATTTTTCTTTTCTTTTCTTTTCTCATCACGTCACACACACTTTAATCTTTTTCTCTCTTCTAGCACGAGTGTCCTGAAACATTTTTTATGCTTTTATCATGGGCAGGTATCTGGGTGTTGGAGGCTTGTTTACAGTACAATCTCAATTTTGGGATCAAAGCGGACAAAGTTAGGCCTCAGAGACTTTATCTCACTGGATGAATTTTTTCAGACTATTGATATATCCAAGGTAAAAAGACAACGAAGTTCTCAATTAATGTATCATGTGGCTTTTCAATTAATCCACTATTTCAATTTTACTTTCTAATGTACTGAGTTTAAACTTTGGTAATGTGATCTGAAAATGGAGAGCAAAGCAGTTAACATGATCAAGTTCAGTGCAAGGGGATTGAGTTTACTGTCTGGACAGCTCAGTATTCAAGCCTCTTTCAAGATTGCTTCCACAACAGTTAAAACTCCACTCCTTATTTGTTCACTTTTTCTTTAAAACATTACCAAATAGCTTCCTAATTAGTTACTGCTTCAAATTCACAGAGAGTTGACATTAATTTCGAAAATTCAACTATCACTCCTGATCAGGTATGTTATCCATACATTATTATCTTACCTTTCGTCGAATGAAAACAATATATTAAATGTTTAAATGAAAATATTCTTTTGCATAGTTAAATCATTTTTCCTCCCTGCGTGGCAGTTGATGAATGTGTTCCGGAAAAATTATGATCTTCTGCTCAGCATCTTCAACCCAGAGGGATGGCTGGAAATCACGTATCCTAATTCTTTCAAGATTTTCATTTTCTTTTTCTATTTTTTCGTATCCTATAAAAGTCTTCACTCACTCCTATTTGATGTTTCAGTTTTCTAAAATCAAACAGCTATGGTTTCTTGCTATTAATTGATGAAATTTGTTGTTGTTTCTGAAGTCTACCATGACATAGATATCTTGATGATTCGATGAGAATAGGAAGGGACGACAAAAGCAATATCTTTGTACTGGAAAAATTTGATGATAGTAAAAACTCCTAACTATTTATTGCTCTTCCTCTTTGATGTTCGAAATTAATACTATGCCAGCCATTTTTGTACTTGTACAATTTTATTCATCCCTTTTAGCTTTTCGAAGCACATTTTCATTAAAATGTTATATTAGTGATTACTGTACACTCGTGAAGGCAAAGAGATCCTTCTCTCGATAACAAGAACCCATTTTAATAAAAAAAAGTAAATGATCGGATCTTGAATTTTGCAAAATATAGAAAAAAGATTTCGGAAATTTATCACCTTTGAAGAAGTCATAATTAAATCTTTAATAAGATAAGGATAAAAGGAGAAAACAAATTGAAAAAAAAAAGTGGAGTGTGAAAAGTTAAAAGAGGGGTGCAGATAGCAGCAAAAAATTAACATTTTTCTTACATTAATCCAAGTATCTAATGATGGTTTATTGATAGCTTACTTTAACTTTGGAAGCATTTATATACTATTTGTATAGTTTAGAGAGACCTAGTAACGAAGAAGTATTTGTTAAAATTTAATGAATAGAAAAAATTAATTACTTTTTCTTTGAACAAGAACGAATTTACTACGAGGAGTAGGTATTTCTCCCATAAATTAATTTTTCAATGTGTGTTATTCTTTAATATTAAAATAATAACAGTTAATTTTTTATAAATTTTTTATTATTTTTTAAAACATAATATAAATATGATGAAATTATATACTTTATTATGGAAATAATTGTGTTCTCCTTTTGGAAAAAATATTTAAATGTGTTTTTAAGCGTTATCTTTGTATAAATATTTGTCGGAATTTTAAAGAGCATAAATTACTATATTTGTCATCAAATGACAAACTTTTTATAATCACGTGATTTTATTATTTTTGCTTTATATTTATTTTTTAAAATTATGTAGAAATAAAACTTACAGACACACTAATATTATTTTTTATAATCATTTAAATCCAAGTTGCCTTTTTTTAGATGAATTAAGTTGATTTTATTTAGTACATTTAATTAAAATTGATTGGGTAACACGTTTGTGAATTTCAGACTCAATGAATTATATTCGAGCTAACTCAATCTTGTTTTGTAGTAAAAATATAACAAAATCTTATTTATCTAATAATGTTATCATAAAAATAAATTTATATTTTATTATATGAGTACGTTCATACATGGATTGTAAATAATGTCATTGTCTTGTAATTATTAAGAAATATTAAAAATATTTATATTAAGTTTTTTAATAAAACATTTTATTTTTAAATTACTCCTTGAAGGAATCTAAAACTCAACTCAACTCAATATACTATATTCCTCATAGATCACATATATTTTTTTATGCCGTCTAATTTTTTAGTTATAAAAAAGAAGATTCAACTATATCAAAGACGGCTTGAATGGGTCAAGCAACTGCAATTCAACACAAAAAAATTAGGTCAGACAAAAAGACATATAAATCATATCACGTTGATTTTGTACGAGATATTGGTTATTTATTTTTAATTTTTATTAATTTTGTTAATTGGGGTTGATTAAAAGATAATTACTATTGGATTATACTTATTAAGGATTTGTACGATCACTACTATATTTAGAATTGAATAAAGTTTAATTTATGTGGCCTGAATGGAAAAAAGTGTAAACTGAGTTTCTTTATAAATTTGCTTAAGATTCTGTTTAAATAGAAAAAAATGATGAAATAAAAAGCATGTAACGCCTACCTGCACGAAACATTAAGTCAAATGATTTGACAACCCAACCTCTTCTAATGAATAAGAAAAAATCCAAATTAGAAGAGACATTTTGAAAAGATTTTATCATAACTCCAACTAAATAAGAAAATGACGAAAACAAGTCTAATGGCAGAAATAACATAGTAATACAACCAAATACTTAATGCTAATCTTCAATTATTAAAGTTCTTTCTTTATCTTTAGCAAAACCAATTGTTAGTTTATATAATTTAGCCTGGAATAATTTCCCTTCACATATTAATATTGCTACCATCATATATTATGACTTTAATTATATTAACATTAATACATTATAACATAATACTTCAAAAATCAATCAATCAATTGTATTAATTAATATATAATATTAAATAAAAGTTAGATAGTTGCATTTGTTTTTCTCTCTTTCTTACTGTTTTTATTCTCATCATTTTCTATGTTTTTTTTCTTCTAATTTTCTTTCTTAATTATTTTTCTTTTAACGCTATTTTTCATCTTTTTTATATGTAAACTGATTTTATTATTATAAATTGATAAAATATATATTATATAAGATAGTGTAACATTTTATTTAATAATACAAAACTAATGACATTATAAGATGGATAAAATAAAATATATAACTAGAATATGTATACATGGAGTTCTTATGAGTCAGGCTACCGAAAAGTAAATGCATTTTTGGTGATATGAGTAGTCAAATCAATTCCTTTAAGATATCCTTCAACAGTATAGTCCCATACCTAAACAGTCTCCAGATCCCTCTCATTCCGGTGTATGTTCGATTCATCCATGTGTCCCTTCCACCGGAAGCCTTGCCAGGAGCCGCTCCTTGTCTGTGCCCCCTGCACCATGCTCCCTGCACCGGCGTCACTCCCCGCCCTCTTATCAGTGCCCGGGTGTCACATATAGTATTAATAGAGTTATTTTAAAATAATAAGCACAACGGTAGAATATATACAAAGAAACTAAAGAGAATGTGAAACTTTTAAAAACTAAAAACAATAGGAACCATTACACGTTATAAAACTACTTCCTAGTATCACTACTTTCTTCCAAAGACACCTCACCACCTATTTTCTCACCTATACTGGTAAGTAATCATTGTAAAAGAAAACCAAATACAAAACACACAAAAAGATAAACTAGTGTATAAAAGAGTTATCTAATATCAAATAAATCATATAAAATACAAACTAAGCATGGATAAAATATAATGAATATACATGCACAAAACAATTGACACTAAACTTAATTATTCGGTACATGCCTTTGACATTGAAATTCACTAGAGGCGTGCCCTTGTTGTGGTCTCCACTCATTAAAATTGATAGTCATCGGCTTAGCACTATCAGGCGCCACTTGAAACTCAAATTTACTTGACCAAGGGCCATTTACTTGACTAGGTGACACCCTGTTTTTCTAGGCCGAGTCATCTTAGGAAAATTTATAGATGGCCTTAAACATGTGATTCTTCACTTTGACCGTTAAATATGTGATTTAAGGTCTATAGTTAGACCACTTAATCACTCGTGATTGCTCTATATTTACTTTTCTCTTGGTTTCTCAATTTTGAAGAAAATCATTACTTTGATGTGGTTGGATGTTAGGTACCTATTTGTGGTTTGATATCATGGAGAATATGTTAAGAAAACATTATTCTATGGAAGTGTAATGGTTTTGAGATATTGAAAGTGAATGGAATGGAATGGAAAAATGAAAATTATTTAATTGTATGAGGTTTATGCTTCTAAGGGTGAAGTGCAAATACTTGATTGCTAGTGTTATGCATTGACTAGGGATAAATGTTGGTCAAAAGTAATCCTAAAATCTAATAAGCTTACAAACTCACACAAAGTAATGTAATATTTATAGGGAGACTTGAAAAGGTTCTTATGGCGTGATTTGGGGTGAGACTCGTATTCTGGTGAAGCCATAAGTAACTTATCCTTTCAGGAGGAGTTTGATCATCTTGTTATGATAAGTGGAGTTATAGGACCTTTATTATAATCACTTAAGAGGTTTTATGACAAGTGCAAGACCTATTATGTCTAATTCAATGCATAATTCCTGTATTAAGTCTAGAATGATTATTTTATCAATATTGCTTGTGTTTTTTCTAGAGTAGAATATTTGTGTTGATTGCTAGTTAATAAAGATTACATTATCATGTAAATTTAGAATTTAATTATGTATAAAAAAGTTAACATTATAATTATATAATAAATATTTTTACTTAAAAATATGAAATTTCATTTGTATAATGAGGCTTATGTTATTATATCATATTATATATATATATAAGTGAATAAAAAAATTGTCCAACAATTAAAAAGTTTGATTAATTGGGTAAAATTTGAAATTGGTATGAATTAAAAGAATAATGTGTTGAAGATGTTTTGTGGAACTGTGTGTGAAGAAAGATGGACAATGTTGTGGAGAAGATATTGAAGATGTCTCATCAGAAACTAATCACATTTGCAATGATAGTGAAGTGAAGTTCAGATGATTAAGAAGTGTTTGAAGCATATGGGTTGTGTGATGTAATTGAAGTAAGATTTAACACTGAGATGTCACCAATATGATTATAATAACTAGGCTCTGCATACATATGAAAATGTTTAGTATTATGTTCATTAATTTGTGGAGTGGGAAGCAATACCAATACGTGACACCAACTAACCAATACAAAAGCCTCCACCTCATACCTGTCATTCCAACTCCCATCTAGCTGGAATCACTTTCACTCTCTACAAAATATATACAAATTTTGCTTTACGTCTTCCACAAACTTAATTAAGCAAAAATATATATTCAAATTTCTTTATACATTACTTTATATATCAAATTATTTTATTTTATTTTTTTATAAAATTTATGCTATAGAAACTTTTCAAAACATCTATCTTAAAATTATTTTTTTAGATAGGAATCAATTAATGTAAAGTCATACCTATTGAGTACTGGCAATACATTCAACTAACTTTTTAATTTAATTAGGTATAGTTAATTATTTCATTTTTTTTATTTTTGCATTAAAACGTGGCACGATTTGAATCATTCTCTGTACCTTGAAATCACTTTTTACAATTTTTAAATATTAAAATAAAAATTAAATCGATAAATTAATGATTTAGTATTTAAAATATGCTTAAACCTAAAATTAAATAAAAAAAAAATCATTTCGTTGTTATTGTTTTGTCGCACTTCTCTTTGTTAGAATTTCTTAATATTTAACAACTTCAGTGAAATTTCACTAAAATGATAGTTTCCCATTAAAAGATTCAAAATACTGTTAATTAATTAAAGTCTCGAAACATTAATGATTTAACGTGATCTGACATCTATAGTTAAAAACTTAGAGCTATTTAATAAATGTTTAATTTATCTGATACGTTTTTAAGTCGCTGAATTTAATAGAATTTCTCTTTTCTCATTCTCACCACTAATATTAATGATGTATGGAAAGAAAAAATATCAGAAAAATAATTTCATTTAAAGAAAGAAGAGATAGAAAGTGATTTTTAATTTAAATGTAAAACTAATTAAATTTAAATTGTGATTTTATTTATCTTCTATTTTTAGGTAATATTTATAAAAAAATATAATAATGTGGTCTTAACGAAAGAAAAAAATGAAAGAGACCTTGCTTATTATTTTTATGATTATTATATTTGCAGGGTTTTGTTACTGGGTGCGTGGTTGGTCTGTGGGGACAGAACAGAACATAACAGAGAAGAGAAACAGAGAGAGACTATGGTTTTAAATTGCTTCAACTTTTTCAGCCACCGCATGATCTTCAATTCTCTTTCTCTTTTCTTTCTCTTTTATTTCTCTCTCACTGCCATTCATTTCCCCGCACCTTCCTCTCCTCTTCTTTTTTCCATTCTTTCTTTCCAAACCTACGAACAAAACGAATAACTCTCACAAACCACACCAATGGGAGGATGTGCGACCAAGCCCAAGGTTTCCTTGGAAGATAACTCAAAAACTCCCCCACCCGAACCTCAACCTGAACCTGAAATTCTCCAAACCAAACCTCCTACCCAAGACAACCTTAATGTCAACGACATCGTCGACGAAGACCAAGCAAACAAACGACGCTCTCTCAGCTTGTTGTTCAAGGAGGTACGCACACAAACCAACACCTCTTTTACGAATTTCTGATTATTTTATGTCTAAAAGAAAGACCTGGTCAAATTTCCCCAAAATGTTGTATGAAATATTTTCATTGAATTTTTCAAACAAATGATGAAATGGAGAATAGTGGCAGAATTAATTGTTTTGGTTGTTTGCTCTTTTTCTGGGTAAACAGATTTTGTCGTGTAATTCCATTCGGAAATGCTCACTTACTTACACCTTTTAACTCATGCACTGCTACTTTATCGTACTCATTCTTGGTCCACTTTGCTCCTTTGCCTAACAAAATCACCGTTTTCTCGGTTCAATGGCAAAAATTTTAGGGTAGTAGCTATTCCAATCATGCAATTTTTTCATAATTATTTATTAACCTTTCTTTTCTTTTCATCACCTACTCCTCTTCTCATTCGTTTACAAACTTTCCCAGTTAAAATTAAATGCTTTAATATTTCTGTGAAAAAGAATAAAATTTAAGGAATCCCAAATGAAAAAAATCATGATACTGACTTTTAAATTAATCAATTCGTGTTTTAACGGACTGTAATGATCAACATTAATTTAAGAACACGTCTTAATTACGCATTAAACTAAACTTTTTGAAATTAATCATACTAAATTTCAAATGTAGAAGTCAGACACAGAATACATGACAAAGAAACGTGCCATCCCTTTGGATCGAATTGATCACGTTTACCCGCTATCATCGTTCTCATGCTTTCATTATAGTAATTAATTGGTGTGTCTATTTTCAACAGAACATCAATGATTGCAAACAAAAAAACTGGGACAGAGTCTCCTAGCACACATTATGATTGTATTTGTTTGAAACAATAAAAATTAGGATTCAGAAACTATATTTTATATTTCTTAATGTTGTCAATAAAGCAGAAAAAAAAAGATATTTTACAACTAACTGTTATAATTTGAAACAATAAATAAAGTGAAGTTTTATGATTGAGAACAAAATAAGTAAGAAAGTACACAACTTTCTTTTTAATTTTGAAATGTTGTGATGAATTTATCTGTCTTGCTTTTTGAAGAAGAACAAAATAATAGAAGGTCAAAAGTTTGACTATTACAGAAGTGGAGCCTCGGAAAACAAATGGACCTAGAAATGTTGTAATGTCCGTGTATATCTGTGCATGATTGGCGGTGTGGATGTCGTACAAATAATGCCTGGTGTAAACCATGGATCTAAACTTGTTTTGTTTTGTAGCATGTCGTATTTGGTAATATAATTAGAGTATGGGTTTCCTTAAGTCAGTTTTTAGCATGTTTTGCGCCTAAATTTGGTGTCTTGAATTTCCCAAACTCATTTGGGGGTATTTATTTAATCAAGGCCCAATGGCCAATACTATTGTTTTACTTTTTTGGAAAAGAAAAAAGTGGAAATGAAAGTAAATTGATTTTTAAGGTTGTTTAGGAAGTGAGAAAAAAAAAAGATGAAAAGTAAAGTGTGGGCTATGAAGTATTTTTAAAATAATAAAGCTTTATAATAACTTTTATTTATGTGTGTTTTGAAAATAAATTCTGAATAAAAAAAATGTTTCTTTCCAATATAAAATTCTAAGTTATGGCTTAGATTGTTACTCTAGAGCATTTATATTTATCCACAAAATTAATATATATTACTCTGTAGACTTATCTTTGTTTTTATGTTTTTTTCACTTTCTTTCATAAATTAATCACGCCCTTACTGCGTTGGCCTTGCTTTTATTTAATTTGCAGTACACAGAATCTAGAACCAAACAAAGTAAGACACTGAACTATGAAAAGTGTCTGCACCTATATTTTTCACCCACAAAAAATATAAATAGAAGTGTGGTATTACTCATTATCACAAACTTAGAAAATCTAAAATATGTATTTTGTTTACTGTAAATGTGACATTTTTCTCTCTTTAATTTGTTTTGAGTATTTTTGTTTTATATTGGTTAAAAATGACCACTTCATTGTGAAACTTGGTTGAAGTGTTGATGCCAGGGATGAAATACTACATATCCAATTATTCATGTCCTGAACCATGCTTTGTTTATGTATCATTGCTAGTAAATTTAATTAATGCATTGTTCAAAATTTGAGTACATACTGTTTCAATAAACAAAGGTGAAATTTGGAAGCACATCTTCCTATATACCCTTCAACTCTTCTACATTTTCAGTTACCCAACACCACTCCCTGAATTCAAGCATAATTATCAGAACCAATTCTTAGAACTGCATTACTAAAAGAAATTATCACCAACCTTAAACAAAAGCCAGTAAGAACATTGAATTTATCCCACTAAGTTTCAAATTTAACATCATAAATCAATTTTTGTTTTATAATATCCTTATAGAGCAAGTGCCTAACTTATGTTTTGATTTGCAATAAATGAAAAAGACGGAAGAAAACAAGGAATGTAATAAAATTTCTGCATCAGTTCGTACTTGATCGTTATCTAACCATTCTAAACAGACTATTTTTAACTCTTGCAAGCAGCTTATCCACACTGTCATTCCTTAGCTCTTTCTTATCTTTTCAAGTTTATAACTTTGTGTGTTTTGCAGAATAAAGATTCTGAGGATTCCACAGAAAATGAGAAAACCACAGTGGAGGAGACTGTGAAAGAAGCCTTAGACGGCAAAAAACCTGCTGAGGATGCTAAAAGCAATGAGCCAACAGTTAAACCAGAATCTCCAAAACCAGAGCAGAAGCTGTCCGAGGAAAGTCAAAGTAACGAATCCCCAAAACAAGAATTTAAGACTGTGAAGATAGAAACATCAGAAACTGAGAAACCTTCAGAAGGAATTCTTATCGATGAAGCAGCTAAGGAGATAGTGAAACTAGAGTCAGAAGCTGAGAAACCTTCAGAGGTAACTGGTATAAGTGAACCAGCCAAGGAAACAGTTAGACTAAAATCAGAATCTGAGAAACCTTTAGAGGTAACTAGTGTTAGTGAAGCAACCAAGGAAACAGTGAAACTAGGATCAGAAGCTGAGAAACCTTCACAGGTAACTGGTATAAGTGAACCAGCCAAGGAAACAGTGAAACTAGAATCAGAAACCGAGAAACCTGCACAGGTAACTATTGTAAGTGAACCAGCCAAGGAAACAGTGAAACTGGAATCAGAAGCTGAGAAACCTTCAGGGGAAACTCTTCCCAATGAACCTGCTAAGGAAACAGTGCAACCAGAACCAAAAGCCGAGAAAGATTCGGAGGAAAAGAATCAAAGCAGCGAGCTAGTGAAGGGAGAACATATAGAGACTAAAGAGACATCTTCAGAGGAACCACGAAGCAATGAACCCATCAAACACAACGAAAAGCTTATCATCGAACCATCAGAAACAGAAAAGCCAAGTGGGAAATCAAAGAAGAATGCTTCAGAAGCTGAAAAGCCCGAGACCCCTTTAAAAGAGAGCATAAACACGGAAGCAGCTCTTCCTGAGGAGAAAGTAATTGAAGTTGTTCCAACCGATGCCAAGTCTGTGGAGAACGTAACTAAGGTTGCTGATGCTGACACTGAAAACCCCTGAAACCTGAAATCTGAATGAGAATCATCAACAACTAGAAACATGGCAGAGTTTCAGGTTGTTCTTTGTTTCATCCCAACCGAATCATTGTGTGAGATTTTCCAACTACATTTTCATTGTGGTTTTTTTTTCCATATATATAGTTTGAAGAACCAATTTTTGTTCTTGTCAATCCACTTTTTTTTGTTTTTTCTATTCTATCATTTCTTATCTGTATCGATAGGTCAAGTTCAACAATGTAAATTGTAATTTTGTTGTGATCTGCAAGTGGGAATCCCGTGGAACTTTGTGCAATACTACAAGTAGTGTACAAATGTTACATGAATCAAGCTGAACAAACTAGTTATTTTTGGTTTATAAATCTAAGGGTTTAGTATATTACTTTATACACTGTTTATGACAAATGTTTCTTTTTATATAATTAAAATCAATAAGTATATATTTAAATCAATCTATAAATTAATTTCGTAATTATAATAAATGATTTTAATTATGATGTCTTGAAAGATATATATGTAAATAGAGAAAAATAATAATATAATTTGAAAATATTGAGAAGACAAAAATTCTACTTGAAGGAGGAGGGGGAGGTAATGTATTAAGTGTAACAAGCAATGATTGAAAAAAAGAGAGGGAATATATATTATGGGATTGAAATTATTAAATTGACAAGTTTATTAGCTTTTTCTTAATTGTAGCCTTTGCGTGATCATTAAGAATAATATAATAGGAATATATTAGTATTATGTAGATATGATTTTGGGAAGAAGATACTACTTTTTGAATATACATAATTAGGAAAAAACAGTTGCAAAGACTTTGTTTTATGTGTTAGTGATTGTATGCATAGACGAAGGCAGATGCACTAAGCATTCCGAAATTTAATCGTTCCTTGTCATTTACCAGCATTTTCAGAATGCTTTTTGTGGTTGTAGAGATATAATGCTGTGAATTATTTCAAAAATGGTGATCTAGACGGTTAATTAAGACTGAATCTTTGTGAAAATCTAATTTTCAAAACTTAATTATTAGAAAGAGAGTTTTTAAGCCTAACTGAACCCCACAAAACCGGTTTGTAAAGTGAGGTTTGCACCTCACTTATATATTATAATTTGACCTTATCTTGTGGGACTTCCAACATTAATAATATACAAATTAAGGAATAATTAAAGATAATGAAATATTGTCCCTTGTGTATTAGAACGAGGAATAATCTGTACTAATCCACGATAGTCAACTGAATCGGAGGTTAAATTCTCACGATTAATTGTTAATTATAAAAATGTAAATCAAAGTGCATTTTCAACTACACAAAATCAACACACAGCTAAAAGAATATATTACTAACAAATATAACATACGTATGCTAAAAATGAATATCTTTGATAAAAGGTATGAGGGAACAAAATATCTTTTATTTTTTATTTTTATTTTAATAATATTATATAAATGATTTATTTTATTATAATAAAAAGTAACACTTTATGCATACTCAACACAATTTATTATAGTTTCAAGTTATGCATTTTTCAACATTTATTGGAGAATTTCTTTTTCCTAAATTTTCAAATTTTTAATTTAATTTCATATTTCACTTCAACAACTTATTTTTATGATAGTTGGTTACCTAAAATATCTTACTCAACTTCCTTATTTACGCATAAATCTATTTAGAAGTAGAATAATAACTGAATTTAGGAGGATTGTATCTCATAAACTCAGTTTGGCTACTCCTAAGTTTGACAAAAAGAATCTATAATATTTGTGGTTGTTATTTTAAACGTCTCCTATTGTTGTATATTCATGAGCATGAGCTATCTTCATACTTTATTATTGCATAAAAATCTGGATAAGGTTGAGAATAAGAGGGCAATCTAAGAGTCATTTCTGATGCAACACAAAAGACAAACTTAGAACAAACTATTAAACCATAAACAACTCCTCGCTATTATAAACTAAGAACAATTCTACAATTCTAATAACCCTACTTCCCACATATCACATAAAGTTTGACTTTGCTCTGATATACAAAATTTAACACTTTAAATTAGCATACAAAGAACTAATAATATATGAATCAACATTTAATATATAAAGCACAATCAAATCAAATCAAATATATACATACATTATCTTTAAAACATATGAAGTAAATAAAACCAAATATGTATAAGTGTTCTTCAAAATATATATACATATATAATATTATCCTACCACGACTCTCTATCAGTCCCATTGTTGTCAATCTTCCCTTCATACAACATCATTTTCTCACGTATACCATATGATCATAGCAAGTGGATAAACCACAAACCAACAACAAAAATAGAGTAAGCTAATGTAATTATAATAATCCATATCACACAAATTAAAACAAAGCACAATCAATTCTTTTTTCTTCAACTCAGTCATCATGATATCAAACAAATCATTAATCAAATGTCCACACAACATGCCCACAATGACTCATACAATACTGACATTTGACTATACTTTCGAAAAACATATATTAGGTAGACTTAGATGTCATGCATTTGTCATCTTCCACCCTAGCCTCACAAGGACTATACCTATATATCAATAGTCGGGCAATCCACCTTCCACATAACATGACATGGTAAATTCTATATTTGCAAGTTCATCCTACTCCCAAACTCCAAATATGAACCTCCTTCGGGTCTCACAACTAGACATCTTTCACTATGTGAGTAGGATTCTAGCAGAGTCAAGATAATTCCTTTACATAATCAACATTCAATACCATAAGATTAATGTAGCATTTTCTCCATGGAAATCTCTACACTATCCTCATCCATACAATCAAATGTATTAAATTTCATTTTAAATTCATCCATCATTCATAGTATATATATATGTGTGTGTGTGTGTGTATATATATATATGTGTGTGTGTGTGTATGTGTATGTGTGTGTGCATGCGTGCGTGTGTGTGCTTGTGTATGTGTGTGTGAAAAATTTATTCCAACATGCAGAAAGTGTGGGTACCTAGGAAAAAATAGAGGCACCCAACACCATGTTTTCTAAGGGCCCTTGGAATTGAATTCCAAGTGGTTCCCAATGAGAGGCCTTCAACGTCACTTAGTGCTAAAATCCATGGGACTTACTGTCAAGTGAGCGTCCAACAATCCCAAAGTGAGTGTCCTGAGCCCCTAGAACTCACTTACTTGTGAGAGCCCAACAGTACCAGAGTTATGTCTAGTGCCCTGGACCACTAGAGCTCACTAACTTAATTCTTATGAGTGACACCCAATGATTTAGTGGTATCGTCAGACGTTGTATTAAAGTTTCAACTTTTAATTTGACTAGGATAGGTTGTCTAACTTGTCTATCTGAAACTTTAGCTCTTTTTTAGTTTAACATACCTTGTTTTAGATAGAGCAAATTGGACAATCCTAACCAAATCATATCAGCTTCACAGACGAATATAATTCCAAAAACAACAGATCTAACAGTTAAAACCCCAATTTAATTTCATAATGATACTCAATACATCAATTTAAAAACAATATAATCATTATAAATAAACTAGTTTCCATTATCTCATATAAAGAGTCTTTGCTCACTAAGTCCACACAAACCAAAACTCTTAGGTAACTCTAACTACAAAAAAAAATTAAATTAATAATCTTAACACACCTTTATGACCATAAAAGAGTAAATAATCAATTAGAGTTACCTAAAGTCATACACAACCCCCTCAAAGGTTACATCCAATAAAAACTAGAATGGACTCAAGAAAAGATAGAAAAGAAAACTTACTCTATAAGTAAACATCATCAAATAGATTTGTTGCTCTTGTAAAAATTTTACAATGGACTCGAATATTTAAGGAGATGAAATGAGAGGTAAAATCTTAAAGAGAAAATTTAACAAATTTAGAGAAATGAATATTTTTTTAAAAAATAAACTCGTTTAAATAATATTGAAAATTATAATTATTGACAAATTGTTTTTTTTAATAATAAATTTATACATGTATCAATTATAAAATCATTTTCTATTCTCAATCGATTCTTTAAGACTTCACAAATATTGACACTTGTATATGCATGGAAAAAGAAAAAGGCATTTACCAGGTTCAAGCAATAAATTACCAAAGTTGTTTTCCCCAACTTACATCATTCTCATTTACTCACTTAGTTAGCAACAAATTCTTAAGGGTTGATTGAAATATTTTGGCCGATATATATTTGAGTGGCTCTTTAGGTGTGTTACGGGAGAAAAACACTTAAAAGCATATAGTAAGCGATAATTTCAACATTCTATATTGACAAGACTCCTCCTTACTTCTAACTATGCCTTGTTCATACTTTGACATTCTAAAATTCAATATCAATTGTTATTTTGTTTACTTAGTGTGCAACATCAACACAGATTTAACAAAATATATCACATTCTTTATTTTTTTTTCAAATAAAGTTGGAATCAAATCAAGACCTTTAAAAATAATGGGAATAAATTGAAAAATGAACAATAAAAGAAAAGAAAATATTCAAGAAAAAAAATACATAAGTTCATAATTGGAATTCTATAAGTCTATTTCTAATACGTATATAAATCTTTGTTATTATAGTTACTACACCGTTACTAATTTTGTCATATATCAACACCATTATACGAGAGAAAAAGTTAAGAATCACACTATATCTATCGTAAATTACTTTTATATATCATATTATTTATACATCACATTCCACCAAAAAGAAAGATAAAAGTTTCTTTTATTTTTTAATATATATATATATATATATATATATATATATATATATAATCCAACAAATAGATTAAGTGATGTAGTCAAGGTTCGTTCAACTTTGGCCTAAAATGGTTCGAACATATTTTGATATATATTTTTTATGCAAATATTCATATATTATAAATGTGACTAAATCTCTTTGATTATATTATGATACTTTTTAATATCATATATTTACAAAATATATCAGATAAAATATTGTATTATTATTATTATTATGTTAATTATCATATATATATATATATATATATATTTATATTAAATAATTATATTTCTTGATATTATTTAATATTTTCTTGATTTTATCAGTTTTTACACAACAGGTTTTATGAGATTTTAAAACCCTATAAATACACATATTATTTCATTAATAAATACACATATTATTTCATTAATAAATACACACAATTCTCTCTCGTATCCTTTTTTTAATATATAAAAGTTCTTTAAAAATTCAAAACTTTTTTAGTTACTTGAGCATTAATAAGAATATATATAGATATAGATAAACAAATAAATATGTAACCAAATATAATTGCAAAAGAAAAAGTTACTTATTGATCATAAGTTCTTAGCCAATAATTTTGTAATAACATTGTGAAAGAGCTTTGATGAGTAAGTCAAAACAAGTTGGAATTTCATGTTGACATGTATTAACATAATAATGCTTTAACTAACTATCTCTCTTGTAAAAATGACAATTTAATTAAATGTGTTTCATCTTTTGTCATAGCTTTTCATCTTGATTCTACCAAATACATTAAAACACTCTTGTTTGTTGTCTTTTAGGCTTTGTTCACTTGAATGAATTTGGAGGAGATGATTGAGGAGATTTGAGAGGATTTGAAAGTAAATTTTTTGTTGTTTATTTGAGTGGATTTTGAGGTAAGTGAGAGTGGATTTGAAATAAATTGTTTTAATCTGTCACATCAATCAAATCCTAAACTAATTCTCACAAATTTTACTTCCAAATTCACTATCAGTTACCTCTAAATCCATTCAAATAAACAATAAAAAAAATTTACATTCAAATCCATTCAATCACTCTTTCCCAAATCCATTCAAGTGAACAAAGTCTTAATGACATTAGAGAGTTTATAAGAAGGTATAATATCTCATGGTAGTAGATTGTTTATAATTATCTCACATTTAGCAATTGGCATAAAAAAATGCATTAATTTAAAATTTAGAATTTCCTAGAAAACAAAATACCTTGCCCTAGTGTGGCGTTCAGAACCTCAATAGATTGTGAATAGAGTCAAGTTTGGTGTTTTAAAATTATATATGAATTATTAAGTCTATTTAAGGTTAAACATATATATTAGATCTAGATAAAGTCAAATATATGAATATTGCTATGAATCTTCTACGTAGGAAAGGATCACCAAAATTGTCTCATACAAGTTCTTTGGAAACCATTAATACAATGTTGCACGCTGGAAGCTCCTTTATAATAAAAACGTGTTAATTATAAACAGAATTTGGGCACTATTCCAAACTACATACAGTTAATACACGACTTTACAACCATACATTATAGAAATTAATACTACCAAGCAATATACTATTCAAGTATATATGATAACACTCTCTCACATATTTTTTTCTCTAATACTGCTTTATGATTCTCATAAAAAAGTATTGGAAAAAGGTTACTGAAGAAAGTGTTGCTGCTGTAAGTAGTACATATCACGTGTCATAGAAGTTTGTGATTTGTGAATGACTCTAAGTCGATGATGCCTCCTCCAAATCCGAGGAAGCTTTTGGCATTTGCTCTCTGCTCTTTCCCCACAGCACACAGTAAAGTCCAATAACCAAAGCGATGCTGCCTAAAATGCTTCTCAAACATCAAAAGCATCCACATAATTAATTAATTAATAGCTACTTAACAAAGTGCAATTAAAGAAGAAGCAAAATTAAAGTTTCTGCACTTGAAAGATAATACTAGCTATACTTGAGCATGTCTTTTATACATTCTTTTTAGACCTTCTCAAACACGGGTGCTCTTAAGTATTAAGCTAGCATTGTTCAGATAATTTTACAGAAGCAATACCGTTGTCCATTGAAGAGCTTCTTCTACCTATAACCTTTTGCTTCTTTTTGTGAATATATTTTAAAAAATAACAGTATGAAGTTCATCTATGTTTCTTAAATTGTTCACTTGAGGTAAAAGTTGGAGTTTTTAAAGTTTATTAAACTAAATATTTAGCCTTCTCTTTCCCTTTTTTCTCACATACTTTTCTGTTTGTTTTCCAATTTTTCGATTTCTTCGTTATTGGGAGTATGTATTGGAGTGTGAAACTATGATTTTGGTGAATGTGTGAAACACATAAGAAAGGAAAAGAGAAGTAAAAGTTGGGATGAGGATGGTGATTGATGAATAACCTTCCCAAAGTTATTATTTCGCCCAAGATAAACGTGGAGGAGATGATGGTCATTACGAGAGACAGTGGTGTTGCCATGGCCAGAAACACTGGTCCTTTCTTCTCTATAACCCATGCTTGTAAGTAATATGTTACACCAGTCACCATAATTCCCTACCACAATAAGTTAATTCCATAATTAGTCATCAGCTGAGAAACAACAACTAATTAAACATGTCATCAATTTAATTCTGTGAAGATTTAGAGGATTACACAGTAAGCAACAGCAAGGAGTCTGACATTCCACCCTAATTTCCATTGCTCAATGTCTCTTTCTACTGCCAAGGCAATGCCCAAAGACTGAATGGAGCTTAAGAAACACTGAAGAGTTGTGAGGAGCAGCTTTGAAGGGTAGTCTTTTATGACAAAAGTCTGGTCAATTACCAACAAAAATATTGAAGAATAATATGAATAATTATGATCATAAGAAGAATATTAATTGAGAGGGAAGAAAATTTACCTGTAGCACAAGCCACATTCCCCAAAAGGTGCTGGAGAGGAGCATGAGGAAGCAACCCTTTATCCATGAACGAGATGCAACATGACCCAGGTGTTGGTGGCTTTTATGGTACCCTAAAAGGTTATAATGGCTTAAAAGCTCCAAATGAGGACCTTTATAGAAAGCAAGGATTGCTGCTCCAGTTAAGCATGCCACTACTCCAACCAACTTAGCAACGCCAGGAGCACTCTTTACCTTCAAAACTTCTATCCTGAAACAAACCAAACTCTTATGTGAGAGATGTTTAGTGCCTAACAAAGTTTTCCCAGCTCAAATTCAACCATTTTTCCATGGTTCACGCTCAGCCACTTTATCATGTATACCCCGTATTGCATGGACATAGATATGTTTATATACGCACGTGCTCATGTATAACATAGACTTTTTCTTTTGTGAAAGTGTTGTTTCTCTTCAAAACAAAAAGGCACATATATAATTGGACAGCTATGCATTAAAGGATACTGTGGCTACAAAACCTGATCACAAATATGGTCCTTGTTTTTTTGCTGCTACTGACTGGTCCAATCTGAAAGTTACCCACTTTCATGCAATACATTCCAAAAGCTAAACTATGAAAATAAGTGCAACTCCACTTTTCCAGTTGGAAATGCTTGAGACCTTGTCAGAACAGGTCACAAACTGTAGTATGCCGATGAAAAGAAAAGGATCAATGGTAATATAATAAGAAATAAAGTTTAAAAAAAAGTATATTTTCTTGCTTTAAAATTGTTATTTTTTCTTTTATGACACTAACTTTATTGTGAATCCATCCTTCTTCCTTTGATATATGACCTACCAAGCACAACAAAAGTTTTCTCGGAGAAATAAGACCACCAAACTTCTTATTTCAGAAATGGAAAAAGGCCCATGCATTCAATGAAAAATGTCGTACAGTTTGAAGGGTCGTTTGTCCTTGAAGTTTTCATCATCCGACATGAAGGTACTTTAAAGAAAGCGTAATTTTTAACCCCTACCTGTTCCTTCCCTTTGTTTTTCACGACAAGTACATAATAATGCATTATTTTGCTAGGGAAAAAATCTCCTCACCAAAACATTGGGCTTCTTTCTTTTTAGCAGACAACACAGATATTTTTAATCAGAGAGAGTACATGTGTTCTCCCTATGCTTGGCATTTTCTAAACTGTTTTTCTCACCCAGAATATTTTAATCACCACCCACACCTATTTCTCATTGTTTTGACACATTTAAAAGAGATTATTGAAATTCATTGGAATTCCATTCCAGCATTAGGAAAAGTTTAGAAAATATCAAACTCTATTCAACACCTAACAACAAGAAAGGGAAAATGTAAATATAATAAGTGTGATATGTGACAAGAAGAAAGATTTAAAAAAACAATGACTGTTTTTGTTGTGTTTAAATAAAGAGGGGTTCATCTATCATCATTAATCTTCCGATTATACTTCCTTTTAGCTAAGGATTATAACTTATTTTCTTATCGCTAGTTTTTGGTTATTATACAAGATATACCTTCTAGATCTGTTAAATATAGTCACCTGCATACGACAAATTTGGTTACTACTGCTTTAACTATCTGAACAAGAGAAAAAAATAAATAAGAGGTGCTTTTAGGTGCTTCAAGTGTGTTGATCATAAAGAACCCGTGAATCTTAATCACCAGGAAAATCTCCACCAGTGATCGAATACTATCAGGTTTTTTAGGATTTTATCAGCAAAAACTCACCCATTTTGATAAATTTCGGTTTTCTGAGAGACTTAAAGTCCGATTTAAGGTTGAACTTGGTGAGAAAACTAACTTTAGTTGAATTGAATGAAATACAAAGTAAATGGTGTTATATGATGAGCTAGATCCTACAAAAGACAATACTTATTGCTTTCAGCCATAGTTAATCTGAACCAATACCATAATCACCGAAAACGGCTAACTCCATGAGTAATATTCTACCTGAGCAGTAACGCTAAGAAAAAGGTGATGGCTGGGAGACAGTTTGTGATAGCAGCAGCCAAAGTAGCAGAAGTATAAACAAGGGCAATACCATATATGTCCAAGCTGGCAGTGATCCTGAAATTTATAATCACCGACAGTTTTAATCAATTCAAAAAAGAAAATCCAGGAAATAACATCACGTGAATCATATTTCAATTGAATATATAACGTAAAGCTTAAACCTAGCTAGCTTTATATACGTATCAGTACTCTTCAACTTTTATAGGATCTAATCATAATAGCATCGATTGAATATTGTTTAATTGAAATACTGAATATTGAGAGGGTACATACCCCAGAAAAGAAAGTAAAAAGATCTTGCAGAAGGCCACGAAAGACAAAGGAGGTGCAGTTTTCCTGGTTTCAATAACAAAAAAACGCATCACTAAATTGAGAAAAAGAGATTGAACTCGGGTAGTTAGATATATATCCATATGTGATAAGCTGTCTTGTGCATACCATTCAAAGAAGAAAGCGAAAGGGATGAGGAATATGGTGGCTGCGGTCTGTCTGTAGAAGACAAAGATGAAATTGTTCATGCCATGGTCAAATGCTGCTTTTGAGAGCAGAAACATAGCAGCGTAGATGGCTTGTATGAGGATGACAACTAGATAAGGCTTGTTTCCTTTCATGGTGTTTTCTGTTACGATCTGTGACCTAATTTAGGGTCCAAATGGAAGTGACGATGAGAATGAAGATATGCTTCACAGTTGATGACACAGATGTTTGAGCACAAGTTCCACCTTTTATGGTCAATCAAGATATTGCTCAAAGTAGTGAGGAGCACGCACACTGCCATTGGCTTTTGTCTCTCTATTATGGGACTTGTGTGGTGAATATCATAAGCTTCTTTACATGTCTGGGGACCACCCTTTCTCTCTACTATTACACTGCCAAACCTTCATGCATTTAATTTCGTACTTACTGCTACACCTCGTAGTATCAGCAGAATTTAATTAGTCTCATATTTTTTTGTCTGTTTTCAGTCACGTGCCACTTCTCTTTCCATCTATAGTAACTCTAATTCATTACTTTTTTCTGTAGCACTAAAGATTGTTTGCTTTCAACAATAACAGTATCTCATGAGGTAAAATATATAGTAATTCTGTTAAACTGGTAAAGTAATTGATTTAACGTGAGATATAGAAATTGAATGAAATTGTGTGTGCGTGTGTGTTTTCAGACATCATTTTTAACTCATGTAATTCTACAGCGTCAATTTCTTGTTGTCTCTCAGAAGGGCACGAACGGAAAACAAAAGCTGTATGTGGTCACTTTCTTTGAATTTTCTTGGCTGGATTGGATACACAAGAGTGGACTAAGTTTGGACTCACGCTCTTTAACTCTTGTTTTCTTTTCAATTTCTTACCCAAATCAAATAATAATATACACTTTTTTCTCACCTTTTCTTAAAGGGTAATTTACACTTCTTTCTTACAGATCAACTGACAGGGTATAAAACATATCACTGCTGTGATTTCGTCATCCACTTCTATGTTAAGAGAATATTTTTGAGATACATACACACGAAAAAAAGAAAACTTATCAATGAGATATAAATAATCAAATACAGTATTAATTTATTAAACACAGAATTGATATTCACAGGAAAAAAAATTAGCAGTAGGAATGGAATTGGTAAAACTGCAGTCCCAGCAATGGCTGGTATGGTGTGTTGAAACACACAAGGTTTGCCAAAATTTGGATTCCAGTAGACTGCAAGCTGCATCATATAAGAGGATTTTGCCATGAAAGTCTCGACAGACTAGTTTACAAAACATAAATGTGTTTAAACCTTAATAAGTTAGTTTTATAAAATATGTTTAAATTTAAAATTCATTTCTTAACCTATGATATTTCCGTTTTTAAACATTTATAAAATGAGCAATTCACAGCTTTTAAACATTTAATCGATATTTTTTTCAGATGTTATCAAATATATATATTGAGTGTTCATTCCGTTATGAACATACATGAACATTCACGTTGCTAAATGTGGTGATACATGTCTTCAATGGTGTTTATATAGGCATTAGTGTATTTCTCCTGTTTAAATAACATCAGAATGTTTCTATTATTAAATAATCAGCACACGACCCTTTAGTTCCTTGCAAGAGATTAAACATTACTGATCTACGAGACTACCTGTAACAAATTATTTTTGAGTTTATGATTTTCTTAGTTTTGTGAATTTATCCGGTTTATGTCACTGATCACAGTGATCAATCATTCAATTCAACTAGTGCAACTTTAACTTTAGAACAGATAGACTTTCCCTTTATAAACATCTGCATAATGATAATTAATTGTTAGTGGTCGTCAATCACTTCTTATTTACACATATAATTATACATAGATATAGATATAGACATTTTAATTGTAAATACAGAAGGATCATAGCTGAAAGTTTTACTGTTTTTACGACAGCACATCTGTCAATTACAGTGAAAGTGAATCTAAAATCATGTTTTTCACATACTTGAATGTAAAATCAGTCACTACCTACTTTTCTTTTCCTAAACAGTTTATTAAATCCGAGTTTCATAACTTGAAGCAGAAAAAGTTTGTCTTGGCTATAAGTATGACTATATATATTGACCTAGGTCTTGCACTAACTTACAAAGTGTGTCTTGTTAAACAATATTACTTCCTAATTGGGTGAGTAAAGTACTTCCTGTAAAACTATTCTTGTTGGTATATTTCTTGAACCATGACACAAGACCAGAAGATATTGTAGTAATTAAATAGACCGACTTAAATGTTAATTTGACAATAAGGTGGTTGAATAAAAAGTATTCTACTTTCATAGAAATTTTAAAATATTTAGCTTTTAAAAATATTATAAATTATAAAAGTAATTTGATTGATTAAAATGATAGAATTTCAAATTTCACTTAAAATGTAAAAATTTAAAAAGTTTTATATACTTTACCAAACATCAATTTTCTCTCCATATTCTTTTTTTTTTCTATCTTAATTCTCTTTAACTAATAAGATATAGGTGTTGTCATTAACATAAAAAAATTTGTTATTTTGGGATTTTAACATTTATTAAAAGTCTAATGTCATATATAGAGATGTCAAATTAAGTGTGTTGTCCTTTAATAGACGTTAAAAATACTAAGAAAAAAATAGCATCGATGGATATTTGAAAATTTTAGAACTTCGATCCCCTTCAAAAATTAGCTAGCATGTTTGTCATCCAATTTTGAACAACTTTCATTTTTGAAGTGTCTTTATACGAGGTATAATCATTTGAAAATTTTCACTACCAATTCTTCACAACTTTAAGTTTGTTACCAATATCTAATAATTGAACACTCTACATTCAAATACAACCTAATAAAACACAAAAATAATTTGAGTAAAAAATAATCTAACTATTTTTAATGAATTTTACAAAAATATAAAAAGATAAACTTTAGGATACACAACAATAACACTAATCTTAATACGAAATGCAATAAAAAGGAATAAAAGTTTAACTTCAAATAAGCACCATAACATTAACATGGAATGATATTTCATAAGAGTTTAATGTCATCGTTATTTAACTTTTGTAATGATAAATTTCACACACAAAAAAAAAAGTGAAGGCTTTGGCACTATTTTAAAAATTTAAAACGCAAATTAATATTGGATTCTCTCGCTAAGACATTGTCACTTAAAAATAATATTCACCAATGTCAATAAAATAATTCTTACTATGAGTTAAAAAATATTGTGAAATTTGATTAAAGAATAATATTGATAGAAAAACATCAGTTACTATTTTTTTTTAATTATAAAATAATATTTTTTAAATAAATTTTCATATTTAATAAAGAATACTGTAACATCCCAAAAATACAGTATAAAACCATATACGAGAATCATCACATATTAATAATACTACAGATCAGTTCTACACATAACGAGATATTATTACGGCCGAACGGCCTTACATAATAGTATGGAATTAAAACAGCACACTAGCTACAACTAGACCGAACGGTTTACAAAATAAACTATTATCGAACGGTCTTACAAAAGGTGAAGCCAACAACTGACTGAACGTTCCTAAGGTTTGGCCTTCACTTCCGCCTTCCAATGCTTCTTCCAGCAGCTCTTCTCCTTTTGCTCACATCCACACGGATGATCATTGCAACAGAACAACAACCGAACGCACAACACAGACAAAATGATAAACATGGTAAGCTTATGTAATTTAATTAATTCAATAACAACATACAACGTTCATAACTAAATTTACAACACCAAGTCATAATTCATGCATAAGGGCATATAAAGACCGACCACTTGACTCTGACTGTCCGGACTGTATGAATCCTGTGTAGCTACGACGTTTGTGCACCCGGGTGATGTAGTAACTGGGATACCCTCAACAGCTGCCACCCGAGATTAATCAGTTCCGTCCAAGTTAACCTTATGGACTAGGACCTCCTGCCATTCCCACACATGACTTACTCCTCTCTACGTGAGAATGAGTAATCATGGAATATCAGGATAAACGCCTGCTAAGCTTTGCCCACATTCATACTTTACCAATCAATAACCACTTTCTGAGATATTCCTCCCTGTAATACTCTTTCATAACCAAACTATTTCATTCACGTCACATTTCAAATTCTCTTATACTTCATCATCAATATATTCAACTGAAATAAGATCACACTTTCTCATCATAGCACAAGTACGACTGGAATAACACTTCTTAGAAACTAACATGACCGAGCGCTATTTACGAATTTATCCACTTCAATAAAAAGACCCCTAAGAGTTCAAACCGGATGCCACGAAGCCTAGGCCGAATACTAAGACTCTAGGCCGGACACCTTTTAAAGACCAACACTGTTTGACACCCAATACTAATACTGATGAGAAACTACGAAGTAACGAACGCTGTCGAGTTTGGCTAAAGACTCTTATTCTAAAAACCGTAATAATATATTACTGAAACGAGACCTAATGCTTGGTTTAAGACCGAGCCCTGTAGAAACCAAACACTATTGAACGAGCGTTGGTCCAAGACCAAGTACTTATCAAGAACGAGCGCTACTGAGACCGAACGCTTAGTCCAAGACCGAGCACTACTAAACTTATAAAATGAATGTATATATATATATATATATATATATATATATTCTGTCTT